TAGGAAGGAGGCAATGCCAAACCCCTTCCGAAACACCTTGCCTTGAAAACTGCAGGGACTCGTCCAGGCAGTCGCCACCGAATCGGTCATGAATGAGTGTGGATAAAAAAAATAAATCTGTTGAAAGCAAACAAATGGGCCCAAGGTGCAAATGCAGACACTGCTGCTGAAAAGCATGAATGTCTTTGAAGATCAGCTTGGAAGAAGTTGTTGGCCTGTTGAATTTTAACTTCTTCTGTGATGCTTTATACACTGTAGTACTCTTCTGTTTTGCTTCCCCCTTACCTCTTCCCCTTGCCCCTTCCTTTCTCACAATAGCTACACTTTCTCCTTACTCTACTCCATCCTGTTTGTTTCCTTGCATTGGAAAGAAGGATGGCAATGTGTGTATTTGTATGTGAGTGGTTTCTGCATATAACAGAGCATAGCTTGTTTATTTATTCCATTTCTATTCTGCTGCAATTCAGAATTATTCTTGAATAGATGGTATACACAGATGTGGGATCATTTTAATTAGCAATTATTAATTCAATATAAATGCATTTTTATCCTGGCTTATCCTTTCATGGAGTGTGGTTTCTAGCATGCATACACACATACACACAGACTCACAAGCACATACAAGTGCTTCATATGCACATTTTTGCTGGGAAGACACACCCGTAGAATTAATTTCAGATCAGGTTGACAATCCTAAATTGACAAGGAGAGAAAGCAAGAGATTGCATAGGATTTTTGTGTGTTTATAATTATTTTCTGCTTAATCTTCTTTTGGGGAGAATGACTTATACAGAGGATTTCTTTCTTTCAGGTAAACACAGTACCCATAAAAACTGTATGAACCGCTGTGGATGATGAATACAACCGTAAACATTCTTATTTCCCAGAGTCTGGCTTACCACATCACATTAAGACTGCAATGTATGCACACATTCCTGGAAATTCTCTGTATAAACACCTGCAGCTGGGTAATAATTTATGAAGCCCCACCAAAACGTTGCAAAGTGTACAGTTCTGCAGAATTCATCAGATGCCTTTGTTTTTTGCATGGCCTCTCTCGCAAGAATCACCTCAAAGTTTGTAGGCATTTATGTCACTGTGGTTGACCCTAATAAAGGTGTTACCCAGTCGTGAATTTGGAATTATTTTTCCTCATGAACCAACACAGCTCCCTTTGCTTTGTTTCTAGGAAGGCTCTTCTATAGATGATTCCCCCACCCCGACCCCCTTCTGGGTGGTTCTAGCCTTTGTTGGTTTGGGTCCCATAGGAGTTACAGGAACTCTAAAAAGTGTGACTAGTATAATCGTTTGACTTGAAGAGCTCAGTGCCCAAGCAAGCAGAACATAAACAAAGAAAAAAAAAAAGGAAATATACATTCAACAGCCAAATGGTTGTGCAAATGACCTTGCACTCTTGAAATCAGCAGACCACTACCCGAGCTGTTCGTTGTTTCAAGGATCCCTTTTTGCTTTCAATTTTATTCCTATCCTTGCCCCAGTGCGCCCCAAGGTGAATAGGAGGGATTAGCTTCTCTTCGAAAATAGTACCCCTTTGTTCACCAACTATCGAGCTTGAGGCGGAGACGGTGTCCTTCCGCGGGCGGGCTGCCTCCTCACCCACCCTCTTTGCCGCGGAGGCAGAAGACGAACGCAGCGCTGATTCGACACGGCCAGAAGATTGCGCCGCTCGGAGGAGGAGGAGGAGGAGGGGCTGCTGCCGCCGACGTCGCCGAAGCAGCTCCTTTGTGTTTCCCACAATGCACCAGCTTCTCCTCCGCGGGAAAGCAAAATGGCGAAGGGTTGTTGTGCAGCCGGGCTGCCCGTGAGGCTGCCTCGGGCTTGAGCCCCTTGCTCGCCTCCCTTCTCCCCTCACCCGCGCGCGTTTGCCCTTTGGAGGGCGGCGAGAAGCCCGGCCGAAGGGCGGCTTCTCGGGCAGAGCGCATCGAGCGCACTGATTTCCCTGTATGAAGCGAGTGGCCCAACTGGAGAGACCGAATGAGGTGAGCGAGGAAGGGTCGAGCGGAGCAGGAGTCGGTCGAGGGAAGTCAGCGATGATGGCAGGGTCGGGGGCGAGAGGAAGGAAAGCCGGCTCCCTCCCGTTTCCCGGCTTTTTTGGACCTCCGCCTCCCGCCATCTATTGATTTTGAAGGGGGGAAAAAAAGAGGATTACAGCATTTCCGTTCTCACAGTCCGTTTATGTTGCGGGAAGGGGACCGAGAGGGTGCAACCGCCTGGACATTTTGCCCCACTAGCCGAGTTTTGTAGGCGGAGGGAGGTGTGGGGTGGGTGTGGGCATCTCCTATGATGCAACATGAACCGTATCTGTGGTTGGCTATATATAGAGGGGCTTCTGGTGTCCTGGGCAAGCCAAACAAAGGCGAGAATCTTTCGCTGGTGATTGTGTTATTGCGCATTAGGTAAATTGAGGAAGTTCTGCGTTGCCATCATTTCGGTCTGCAAATGGGACCCAAAATATCTTTTCGTTTTGTCCCCAGGGTCGATAAAAAGAGGTCGTTCCGAAAGAAGGGGTTTGTAAATTTGTTGCTGTAATAATGCCAGCATACTAGTTCTTATTATTTTATGCATTATTTTATTACCTTGTACTTTTAATTTTAGGGCCTAGGCATAATGATTTTTTAGCACTGTCCTATTAGGCAGTGTTGTGTATTTTTTAATTTCAGCTGGCTTCTCTTTCCCCTTTCTCCTGCTTTGTTTTACAACTACTATATGTACCCCTCTGTGTGTGTTTTCACAGCATGTTTAACCTGATTACTGAATTAACTTACTTTTTAGGTTTATACAATATATTGAACTATGACCTCTAAGATGAATTACATATCATTTTACACAAAATGATAACACATTTAACACAAAATGATAACACATGATAGCTACACAAAAAAATTGACCAAGGTTAAAATGAATCAAGTTTAGCACATCATGCAAAGACAGTTGCTTGCTTTGTAACTGATCTGGTTAAATGTGTTATGGGATCAGGGTTTATGAGTCAGAAGAAAAAATGTTTGGTAGTACTGATAAATGAAAAGGCAACTTTGATCATGTGCACTGGGGAGTGAACAACCTGAGGTTTCAGGGCCACCTGCAACCCCTGAGGCTTTCAGTACAGTCCCCAGCACTTTCTTGAAGTGTATCCAAAAATTCAGAATTCTTAATTTTTAACTACATGGGGAATAACCATATTAATTATATTTTTGAAATGTGAAATTGAATACCATTTTGGTTTTGTCCTGGCCACAGCACTTTGTAGTGTAGACCTCAGCACATCACAAAAAAATCATATGTGGCTTTTGATCCCTCCTCCAAAGCTGAACTTTTCTGATATAATGAGTTGCATATTTTCAACTTGCTGATATGTTAAAGGTAATACTAATTACCTTTCAAATTGTATTTGAATAGTGGTGTACTTCTAATGTCAACATTAACAACTACAATTATGTATTAAGAACCCAAGCCTGCATCATTATCCTTTTAGATAAATCTGTGATGCAGTCACATTTCCAAAGTACTATTATAAAGCTTATAAAAGGTGCAAAAAAGACACAACCTCTCCCCAGACCAACTACTCTGTGAAGGAAGATTACAATATTTGATTATTTTTAGCTTAGCAAAAGTTATTAGGAAAGGGCATGATTTACTTTGGGAGGGGGGTTATAATGTTAACTTTTCCATTTCCTGTTTTTTCTTGTTTCCTGGCAATGCTGTTATACCTTTTAAGTCTGTTCTTGCTCCTTTCAGTGTTTGTGGGGTATTAGCCAAGTGACATCTTTCATGTTAGGAAAGTGGAGTTCTCACCATTCAGAAGTATTTCTAGGCAATCAAAATAAGTCTTGTAATTCCAGTCAAGAAATGTGGATAGAAAGAACTGGAGTTCCACAAATGTAAGCAAACAAATTGCAATAAGCTTTTCCAGAATTTTAATCAACTGTTTGATTGAGACTGAGCTTACGAGGGATGGAAGAAATGGGAAAGAAAAATCTAGCTAAGTAACTGGGATATACTGGTGACATGCTGAAAGTGAATGAAATAATGTGTGGCAGCCAGGTATAACTTTGTCACAGATAACCATCACACTTAGCTAATAGAGACACTGGTTCTGCTGTGTGTGTGTGTTTGCTTGCTCATTAAGATGAGTATGCAGCCTTCAGACTTCTATTACATTGTAAATGAGTTCAAAATGTGATTGACTGGTTTGTAAGTTAGTGTGTTGTGCAAACCCAATAAAGTTCAGTGCTTTGTACGAATCCAGGCAATTAGATTAACTCAGTTAATCAAGAGTTAGCATATTGTGCAAATAGTGGTCTGTCCCTGATAATATTTGTAAAAATATATACAGTATTTAATTATTTCCTTAATAGCCTGTTTCTAGTCTTTGTCTAATTGTTTATGAATTGTTCTGTGGAATTTTAAAGAAAGTTTATGGAGTACATTTCCTGTGTTTCTTCTTTCTGTTGCAAAAGGAATAGAATATTGAATTTGGAAGTAACACTTTTGTTTGAATTCTTGCTTTCTGAACCTTCATCTATGGCAAAATTAAAAAGAATTGGGGCAGTGTTTATTTTTCTTCATATCTTTGCAAATGCCTTAGTTATGATGTATTGCTTCAGTGTTTGTACAAGGGCTCAGTGAACTAAGGGAACACTGTACTTGCATAGTGAGAGAAATGATTATGGGTTGAATACTGTGTTGTGCATGAAAAATGAAAACTACTGTGCTTGCTAATAACCAACTGCTAAATGACTTTTACATAATGTATATTATTACATGGACAGGTTTCAGATGATAGCCAAAAGTGCTTTTTCTTTTAATGTAGTAAGTTTAATGTAGCAAGGTTTTAATAGACTTTGAAGTATACTGAGACAATATCTGAGAGAACCAAGATGTAAGCACATCTTTAGCAGATTAGATAAACAATGTAGAAATAACAAGCCCTCAAATCATAGATTTAATTGTTAATATTTAGGCCTATGGGATTTTTCTTCAATGTATATTAAATTACAATAAATTTTCTGGTTAAAAAAATTACATACAGTACTGGCTTCATCTTCTTGTCTCAGATATGTCTGTAGATTAATTATAATCCCCACTCCCAGTTAAATTTATATTGATTTGAATGTTAGCCTTTAATGTTTTAGAAGTTGCTTATGTTCACTGTATATGTCTATATTTTAGAGACTCTACGGGGGTGGGTAATTCAGTGGTCCACAAGCGGTCTCCTTTGCACCGAAACCAAAAATCACCATCCTTGACCAAACTCTCCTCACGGGATGGACAAAAATCCAAAAAGCCAGTGTGCAAATTTGAAGAAGGTCAAGATGTCCTAGCTAGATGGTCAGATGGCTTATTTTATCTTGGAACTATCAAAAAGGTAATCCATTTTTAATAAACTTACTAGCTCACAAACTCTTATGACAAAACTGCAAATTGGTATTACAGCTGCAAATTTACTTTTATTTCAGATAAACAAACTTAAGCAGAGCTGCTTCATTATATTTGAAGACAGTTCCAAGTCCTGGGTTCTCTGGAAGGACATACAAACAGGCAAGAACCTTACATCATGATGATGATGATTTAATCTTTTCATGATTGATGTAAAACCTGGATCTACTATACATACTGTTTCCAAACTTCTTCCAGTTGAGGTGCTGAATACAGCAGGCACGAGGAAAGGGTTAACCATTCCTCAGCTGCCACTTACCTGAAGTGGTGATTTGCTAGAGAGGGAGGGGAGCCTGAAATGTAATTGCTCTGAGGAGAGATGAGAATTATAAGGGGAAGCAGCAGCTGAATACAAAAACTGTGTGGACAACATATGGCCCAAAGACAGATAAGAGGCTGGGTTTATAGAATCCATAGGTTTCTTTTTTATAACTCTTGATCTCAAATGCACCACAGTCAATACCAGCTGAATTCACACATTGTTCTAAGTCATGGTTTACAGACCAGAGTGGCTGAGTTCACGTATTATGCAAAACAAAACCCAAATCATATTATGTCAGGACTTACAACTAATCTAATCATTTTTGTATATAGCAATCAGCCTTCAAAATATAAAATGTATTCCTTCAATATGAAGCCATGCCTTTTTGTTGTCTTAGGAGCTACTGAAACTGGGGAAATGGTCTGTACAATATGTCAAGAGGAATATTCAGAAGCACCCAATGAAATGGTTATATGTGATAAGTGTGGTCAAGGTAATTTAAAAAAATTAGTGTGTAGAAACTTTTAAAATGTATTAGTATATTGTGTGTAATCTTAAGTGCAAAGGTATTTCTACTGATGTTTGTTACATTTATGCTACTCTCAATCCCTCATGTATTGTACTTTGTAGTATCACATTTAATTTAAAATATTTAAAAATTGGTTGTGGGTTTTAACATATGACAGAAAGACATACAAATACAGAACTCCCTTTATGTCTTCTTAAAGAGTAAAAATTTTTTTTAAAAAAAATTCAGGTTATCATCAGCTGTGTCACACACCAAATATCAGTTCTAATGTGATAGATTCAGATGATAAATGGCTCTGCCGGCAGTGTGTCTTTGCAACAACAACAAAAGTAAGTTGATTACTTAGGAAAGTAATTGCAGTTGAAAATTGATTTTTGTATGGCATTGGGTAGTAACATTTGCTGCTTTAATGCATTTTATTTCAGAGAGGTGGCGCACTTAAGAAAGGACCAAATGCTAAAGCACTGCAAGTTATGAAGCAAACATTGCCTTACAATGTAGCTGACCTTGAATGGGATGCTGGCCATAAAACAAATGCCCAACAGTGTTATTGCTACTGTGGAGGTCCTGGAGAGTAAGCAGTCGACATACTTATGAAAATATACTTTCACTCAATTTTTTCTAAGTTCTCTATTTGTTGAGACTATGCATGAGAGTCACATGTTATGTTTCATAAATATTCCATAAGAACAGCTTTATTGACCATATTCTAACATAGTATCAGGCTTTCAGAATACTTTCTACTCTTGAGTTTTTGATGTTTGTATTAAAGGGAATCAGCTAAACTCTAGTCTTGGACCATGTTTCAGTGAATAAAGTTAGAAGGTGATTGGCTTAAGACATTGTGCTAAAGCATAAACAGTGTTTGATTTTGGCTTAGCTTGTTGTATAAATTCTGCCTTTGTGTTATGTTTAAAAAACATGAAGTTTGCAAAATGCAGAAGTATCAATGAATGCACAGTGACCAAGATAAATCTCCAGGAGCAACTCTCATAAAATTGGTAGTAGTGTAATTTTCATTTTATTTTTCTTAAGGCAGCCAATTTAAGAAATGCTAACTGAGCATAACATGAAATATGATGACACTCCATTTTGCTCTAAGTTCATGGATCAGAAAGCTGCCAACATGGCAACTTTCATGTTTGTATTTTGGGAATTTTATTTTTATATGACATTGTCTACCATATATAAATAAATTACTTTAGCTCATTCTGAAATTCATAATAGCCATATTTAATGCTTTTCTGCTACAATGAGTATTTGCTGCATAACAATCCTTGTTTTTTCTTATCATTAATGAAGCTGGTATTTAAAGATGCTACAATGCTGCAAATGTAAGCAATGGTTCCATGAGGCTTGTGTGCAGTGCCTCCAAAAGCCAATGCTGTATGGTGACAGGTAAGATGTTTTTATTTTATCTTCTGTTGTGTGTTAGGTTTCCCCTTTGGTGGGATGGACTGTACTCAGTCCTGTAATCATACATTTATGCTCTCCATGATTGTAGCTGTGCTATTTACACCGATGTATTAATAAATATGTTACTGTTTTATTGCATTGTTAGGCTTGTCTTTGTATTTATAGTCTGCCCTGAGTTCAGTTTCATCATAGAAAGGATGGTTACAGATGTCCATAATTACCTTAACAAGTTCTAAATATATTAAAGAAATACAGATTAATGGTGGGGTAAAAACATTCAAAAGGCTGATAAGAACACGCGCCCACATTTTTAGCTATTGGTTTCAAAACTTTCTTTTATACATTACTCATTGATGTACTTTAATTGTGTAAGCATAATTTTGTTTTTTGTGGTCTTAAATATCTTGTAAAATGAATTGCTATCAGTACAGATTAGAAACAAACATGTTCACAGCACTGAATATGCCTTTTAAACTTTTTTAAAGGTTTTATACATTCATTTGTTCAGTTTGTAGTTCTGGACCAGAATACCTCAAACGTTTACCCTTGCAATGGTAAGTACAACTTAAGTGGATCTTGGGTAAAAATATTCAATATTTCATTGTACATCTCTGTAAAGATAGTTTTGTGCTTCCACTGTTTGAATGGACATTGGACAAGTGATTAGAATGTGGATATATTACTTTTATTGTCCTCTTCCTTTCTAGTTCCAGTTGAGAAAGTGAAAAACAAAATATCAAAGAAGCAGGATTTTTAACGAAATAGGCCTGCTGATTGCTGGCAGGCAATAGTTCCTGTCATCTAAATAGTTAATGTTTATACATGTAAAATGTTAAAACTTACTAATTGTTATTAAAACTTCTAAATTCTAGGGTAGATATAGCACATCTATGCCTTTACAACCTAAGTGTTATTCATAAAAAGAAATATTTTGATTCAGAACTTGAACTCATGACATACATTAATGAAAATTGGGATCGACTCCATCCTGGTGAAGTAAGTTTTTGAAATATTCATGCTGTTCATACGTTTCTGTAGTTCAGAAGATCAAAATATTAAACTGTATAGATATTTTAACAGTTCAACCTATTGTTTCTGAAATTATTTGTTTTGAGTGTTTTATTGTATATAAAAAAATCTAAGATTTGAAAGTTATGCATAATCCACATACTGTGTCTACTGTATATGGCAATACATAAAACACGGTCTTGTGACTGATAGAAGTTTGAATTTCAGAACAACTTTGTCTTTTTAAAGTAGAGTTTTCAATTAAAATTAAAAAAAAAAAAATTCTACAGGTGACCGGTAATGAAAGGAATCACTTTTTTTTTTTTGGCATACATATATGGAACTTCTGAATCTTCCTCCTTAGATTCTCGTTTGTAAGCCCTAAATTTTGACATTTGGAAAGATATGCTGGCAACTGCTTTTCTGAAGTTGCTGTGGATTAGGAATTTTTTTCTTTTGTAGCCTTGTCACATTTCATTCCATTGTTTATTCCCAATAGAAAGAGTCCTGCTGAATTTTTTCTCTTAATTATTCCTCAGCAAACTCTTGTATTAAAATGTTTGTTATCAGACACAGAATGCAGATTGCTTACATTTTACCAAAGGATATTTTGTTATTAAAACTACACCCATAAACACAAGTGATACTTAGCAGTTCGCACAGATACAGAATATAATTTTATTTCATACCTTATTCCTAGAATAATGAAGATAACTAAACTTCTGTTCCCCCTCTATTTGTTAATATGCTACAGTAAGTATTCTAGAATATAATTTTCGCCTGTTACATGAAGGAATTCTAGAATGCTACTGTATTTGATCTCTCTTTGAACTGTTAAGTATTAGTGCTTATGAGTGTTACCGCACATTTCAGTAGATTAAATCACTTCTTGATACTTTACAGCTGGCAGACACACCAAAATCTGAAAGATATGAATATGTTCTAGAGGCATTAAATGATTACAAGACCATGTAAGTTGATAAGGGTTTTATACAATTTTCTCTTTCATTTCCTTTAGTCCAATCAGATAATATTCTTTAAAGTTTTTTGAAGTGTTATCTAAAAACGTGTAGTTGCAACAGAATGTGTTATTGCAGAATTGTTAAAATGTTTAACTCAGAGTTTTATTTCTGAGGTAAAAGTTAAATGAACGTTTTTAGCTATGTTTTTCCCAATGTTGGCATTTGAACAGGCTATGAGTAGGGCCATACATTTGTTAATAAATGGATCTTGGTTTCTCTGTATATCTAAAGAAATGAATTTTGTCTTCATGTTTTGTATTTAATATCTTGAAATGCAGGTTTATGTCTGGGAAGGAAATAAAGAAGAAAAAACATTTGTTTGGTTTAAGAATTCGTGTTCCTCCTTGCCCACCAAATGCTGCTTTTAAGGCTGAGAAAGAGCCTGAGGGAACTTCACACGAGTTCAAAATTAAAGGCAGAAAATCATCTAAGCCTGTGCCTGATCACAGGTAAATAGACTAGAACTGAATAAAATGACAGAAGCTGGAAGTATTGTATGTACATTCCCAACAAAGACTAACTGGAAATAAGCAGAGTCCTAAAGGCTAGGGATTCAAGAGCGTATAGGTTTGCCCATGTTAAGCCAAGGTGGAGCTTGGGCAATCAGAATACATAGAAGAGATAATTCTAACAGCTATTATGCTTTTGTCCTTACATTCGGTTCCATAAAAAAACTCAATCCAAGTAGGTACTGTTAAGTAGTAATACAAAATATATATACTGATATATCTATCCAGATCAAGTTAGTATTTGGCAAATACAAGCTGTATGTGATCTTGTTAGTACAGAACTGGCCAAGAGTTAGATGAGTTGTCTGTTATTATTTGCAGCAAACTCAAAACCTGTCTTTTGTGTTTTGAGCAAAATGGCTTGCTGTGTTCAGATTGAAGCTTCATCAGGAAACGGAAGGAATATTATATTAATATTATATTAATTACATTATTTATTTACCAATCAATCAAATTTATATAACTGCCCATCTCACAAAAAGTGACTCTGGGCGGCATACAACAATTGAATAAAACCACAGATACATAAAAATCATTATAAAAATATAAAAAATCATTGTTAAAAAGGAAAATATATAAAAAAAGTTTAAAATTCTGTATATAAACCACACAGAGAGCAAAAATATCAACCACAGTGGAGCTGTCTCAGAATGTCTCTGGTTCCCTGGGACTCCCAGGCCTGGTGACATAACCAGGTCTTAAGGGATTTCCGAAACAATAGGGATGTAGCTAACCTGACTTCGGGGTGGGGGGAGAATGTTCCATAAGGCAGGCTCCACTACAGAGAAGGCCTGCCTCCTGGGACCCACATAAGTCCCCAGCAGAAGGTACCTGCAACATGCCTTTTCTGCCAGATTGAATGGGATGGGTTGATGTGATCAGGGAGAGATGGTCCCTCAGATAACCCGTTCCCATGCCATGAAGGTCTTTAAAGGTTAAAATCTGTCAGGCCTAGCCCAAGGAACTCCAGGAGA